CCTTCTGAAAAAAAAATAATAGATAAAGTTAGGAAAGAAATGGGATATCCTGTAGAACCTAAAACATTGTCTCAAAAGTTGAGAGTAACAAAAGCACACGCTGAGGGAATAATTACACCTCTTGAAGGTAAGACTGCTTCGCAAAAAGAGGTGGCACTGAAAAAAATGGCTGCAGCGGGAGTTCCATTACCAGAAGGTCGTACGGCATCAGAAAAAGCTTTGATTACGCACGTCAAGGAGACACCTGAAACAGAGGGTATTAGACGTGCCAAATCAATAAGTCCACCTATGTCTCCAAAGAAGTTTGAAAAGTTTGATATAAATACAGCAAAAAGTCTCAAAGAAGGTAAGAAGAGCGACGAATGTATTTGCAATATTTTTAATGTGCCTGCGAAAATGTCTCCTACAGTTAAACCTTTACATGAAAAGTCGCCTGAAGAAAAAGAAGAACATATTAGAGGGTTAGTTACAAGAGGCTTGCCATTACCACAACCTAATACAGCCTCGGAAAAGAAAATAATTGATAAAGTTATAATGGAAATGGGTTATCCCCCAGAGCCAAAAACCACTACACAAAAACTTGCCCTAGCCAAAGCGCATGAGGCATCCATTATTAAGCCACTTCAGGGTATGACAAGGCCTGAAAAAGAAAAAACTTTGAGAAAAATGGCCGCAGCTGGCGTTTTACTCCCAGAAGGTCGTACAGCGTCAGAAAAGTCATTGATTGCGGCTATTAAAGCTACGAGTCCCCGTTTATCAAAGATTGCATCAGAAAAAATAAGACAAGCAAAAGCAGAAGGATTATTGACTCCGTTAGAGGGTAAAATAGACAGCGAAAAGGAAAGGATTCTAAGAGGTCGAGCAAAAAAGGGTTTGCCTTTACCAGAAGGCAAAACTGCGTCAGAGAAGAGAATAATCAATAAAGTTAGAAAAGAAATGGGTTACCCTCCGGAACCTACCTGTGTATCTGAAAAACTAAGATTGACAAAAGCACATGCAGAAGGTATTATCGAACCTCTTGAGGGGAAGTCCGACAAAGACAAAGAAAAAATGCTTCAACAAATGGCCGCAGCTGGCATACCGCTACCAGAAGGCCGCACACCATCGGAGAAAGCTTTGATTGCGGCTGTAACAACACCAGCGACAGTTCCTACAGAAAAATTAACAAAATCCAAAACAAAAGAACGTGCATCAGGTTTTAAAGCTGACCCTGATAAATTACGCAAAGCTGAGGTAAAGAAAAAAACTACGAAAAAAGAAGAATCCGTCTCACCAAAACTTAAAACTTCAGCAGAAAAAGGTACATTAGAAAAACCAGCTGGCAAAAAGCGAACTGAAAAAGTCACTACACCAAAAGGTTCACGGTATAAAAAATCTAAATCTGTAACTACTACAGCGGCAGGGGCTGGTATTCGCGGAGAAATTGAAAACATTGCTATAACAACGACGTGTGATAGGTCTTGCGGCTGTGATAAAAAGAAAATACGTTTTAAACATAGCTACGTAAAGATTCGAGTCACATCTCCAGATTTTTCGTCTTTGTGTGACTGTCCAGATGAATGCATTCCGTGTGTGCAGAGCGGAATTATATTAGATAACGAGGGAATTAAAGTTACAGTTGGAAGAGTTGCAGGCTTTCCTTCGTTTACTCCGAATTTACCAAGACGCAAGACTTTACAGGATTCACGTTATGTAAGCCTTGAACACAGTTTTATTTCCTTATATCAAAATGTCGTACGTAACAGTTACTTGAACGTATTAAAAGAAGCTTTGTGTAAAAATTTGTACGAAATGTACAAGGCCAAAATGAATCACACCTGGGAAACAGAAAGTAATATACGTCACCCAAGTCAATTACAAAGACGTTTAAGAAAAGATTGTGTGTACAATGTTCAAGGTGGTTACTTTGTTGGTGGTGGCCACTCTGAAATAAGCTTCCACAGAGCTGAAGCGGACAGATTATTTTACGAACCTGAAAGAAGTTATATTTCATCAGCAAAAGATACGGCCAGTGCCCACAACTTCAACAAGAATGAATCTACGATAAGCACAAATCTAAAGTGTATGAGTCACGACTCCATACTTATCATGAGAACAGAGTCTACGCTAAGCTTGTTATCTAACGCTTATAGTGAACTTGGGAGCGTAAGTGTGGTATCGTTCTTGGGAAGTACCATGTCAGCAAATAATAGCAGACGCTCCCAAAGCCTTCCAAACGTTAGCAATAGTGATATGGATACAGATCCTTATTTTCAAGATCTATATTGTAACACAACTAAGGCTACGTTGAGGTAAGTCACTTATGTGGGGCGTGCTTTAAGTAACTGACTGATTTGATTTTTGCACAGTTTGTCTAATAAATTTAGTACATAATGTGTAAAGGATAAAGTACCTATGGGTTTTTTTATTTGGCTACATTTTTACACTCATTTAACACGTAATCTGACTTTAATCGTGCACTGATAAGTATACATTACTCTTTGCAATATGTAATAATAATTAATATTATTTATAATTAATAAATATATACTGTAATATACATTTTTTAATAACAGTGTAACGACGGAAAACAAACGGTGTAGAAATCAGACGATGTTTAGAGCAGTATGAAAATCATGCTTCTGCTACTCGCTTTTTGGTGTAATTTCACGCGTTTTGACCTTGCGTCATATACGCCATTTAAATCCTGAAAAATAGTTTCGTTTCTTATATGAAACTCCTCGAAAATTAAATATCGTTAAATGGTAAAACTATTGTTACGGGCGTCTGAAGCATAAACAATAAAAATTTACCTAGTCCAATAAATGATGCTTATGCCATGATCTTGCTCATTCTATTCCATACGGCAATTGTTGTGCTATGGCTGATATCCAACAACGTTCTTGTATATATTAGCGAGAATTCGGAATTGCACATTTAGTGATGTACCATTCGCATAAAAACCAAAACAAGTAAATTATTCGATTTATTCTTAAACAATGAAACAATGATTATTTTACGTTTGGTTCTAATCACTATCGCACAAGTCTTTTTCTTTTGAAGTTTCACAAGTATTGATAAGTTTAGTTATCGTTTAGGTATGCTGATTGCTGCTCTTTTTGACTTCTATATTTTCTTCACTTGCGATATCATGACAAACAATTTTCCATACCTCAGCACTAATTGTATTAATTTTTTCAGTTGCTATCCCCATAATGCATTGCATATTTAAAGAAATGCTTCGTTTCGCGACATATCCTTGAACTATTGACCAAATATTTTCAATCGGATTAAATGTTGAATGACAGGGCGGCAATCGTAAAACTGTATGTCCATGTGCATTTAAAATTGCACCTATATGGTGGGTGGTACACCAGATTATTTTGTACATCGACCTACGAATGTTGTCATCTGTCAGCCACTCCATAATTTCTTGTTTACGACAATTAGAGGTTGGAGCATGGTTTAATAGCTTATTGTGAAACCAAGCATTATCTACGACCACAACGATATTAGGCTTAAGATTCTTTATCAATTGTCCCATTTTTCGTAGTTGTCAAAGTTCATCTGATCATGATAAATCTTCCTTTTTTTGGTTAGCCGTAAAAAACAAAACCATTTTTTCCTCCTGCATCACTTTAATTAATCACTGGCCTGTACTTATTGGTCTTTCTATCTGTCCATGCCTGACTGGACATGTGAGAAGTGTGATTGTAGGTTTCATCTGTGTAAACTAGGGGTCTACCTTAAGACCAATATTCCGCTATTTATTTTATTTTTATATTAATAAATAAGTGCGCTTTTGACTTACCTCTCATTTTGACTCATCTCTTAATGAAAAGTGACGAGGAAGTCGATGGAGCATGCACACCTAAATAGTGCCTATTAACTCTTGCCTTGAAAAGACCCAACCGTTCAAGTCTGCAGGCATGGAAATCCATTCCAGAAATTTCCGTTCGTTGTATGAATGTAGAAGGGAAACGCTTTGTGCGAATCCTTGGAATATTTACAACATAGGCGTGGAACCCCAGACTACGTCTGATCCCCCGATGATGAAAAGGGGAAGGTGAAATTATATCATCGTGCAATTCCCTTGCACACTCCGTGATATATCCTGTAGAATACCGATCAGCAGGCAACTTTACTGCTGTGATCAAGGCTCTGCAGCTTCACCTCTACTAATTCCGAGTCACCTTATAACTTTTGGCATACTTTTCAACTTCAGTTGAGTCAAGGTCGCCAGTTGGTATTTAGTAGGACCATCCCATAGGTGGCAGCAGTACTCCATGCACGATCGGACATGCGGTACACCTGAAGCAACTATCTCGGTGTGAAGTAACGCCTCACCGTGGAAAGGATGTCAAGCTTTTTGGCTGCATTTTTAGCCATGGATTCTGGACTGCCGAAGTTCAAATCGGAAGACAGGTCCATTCCAAGTAGCTGGAGACAGTCGACTATCGGTATAGATACGTCACGAAACAAAGTCAAAGGGACTTCGTTTTGTGGAAAATAGACAAGCCTGCATTTTGATAGCGTTGGCGTCGCCTCAGTTGGAGACTTGATGCTGATCTGATCCTGACCTGATGCCTTAGGATACAAATCCCAACGACTAACCCTTGCATTGGTTGCAAGTACCTATTTAAAAGTGATGATACCTGAAGTTATTGGGAATCGACATATGGTTGACATGCAGTAGAAAGTGAGTTGCGAACAGTAAGGAACTCCGAGGGACTCCGGCATCTACGACCCGATGTTCCGAAGAGTAGCCTCTAAGATCACTTGAATCGATCATTTCTTCATGAAATCCGAGATCCAATTGCAAAGGTCAGTGGGTAGCCCATAATAGGGAAGCTTGCTTAAAAGATTTTAGAAATGTCCAACACTGCAAGTACTTCACCGTCCATTCTATGTCCTCGTTCCATAAGTGAGAAGCATACACAAGATCTCACAGATCGCCTTCGTCGGAATCCGTACTGGCGATGAGGTGAGGAGGTCGTTGTCTTCAAGGTACGATAGGAGACGGTACACGTTTAGCCTTGCAGAGTATGGAAATGACTGTGATAGGTCTATGGTTGACAAGATCAGCTCTGGTTCCTTTTTTTAGACACAGGTTGCACTTTGCTAGCTTCGAACGCCTGGAAACTACACTAGTCTCAAGTGAGAGGCAATTAAATGAGACAACTCTGGTTCGCTAGTTTTGTTTCCATAACAGGTACTCAGGACTCCCACGAGTTCTTAGTGCCTCTTTTTTGAGGTATGGGAACTTGCGCCATAGTGCAGCCAGTGTGAAGTAAAGAAGGTGGTAGGCACCTTGTGGCATTCAGACGCGAATTCTCTGCGAAGAGTGAGGCGAAAAGATTAGCCTTCTCTTCCGCAGTATGAGACAGCGAGCCATCCGGCCTCAGCAGAGGTGGTGAAGAAGGGCGACTAAAGTTTGTTTCAACCCTTTTATCTAGGTCCAAAAATACTTGTTGAAATAGAGGCAAGTTTTGGGTAATGTGGCGCAAATGGTCGATCTTTGCCCTGCGTAACATGCTTTTGTGCGTATTGGCGGCTTTATTAAAGGCTTTCTTTAGATTCCGAGTATTAGGGAGCTTTGCGCAGTCAAGCTTCTGCTCAAGCTTGGTACATGGTCCGCATCTGTGCTTCTGCACGACTACAGTCGGCGGTAAACCATGCAGTTTGGGGCCCAATGGGTACATTAAAGTGCGGTATTATACTCCACACCAAACCGCAAATAGGGCAAGCCTGCCAGAGATATGAAGCGAGGAAACTCACAAACAACAATCTGCTAACCTGTATCACCACACCCGTCTCATACCAATAGGGCCCTGATCGGTAGCGGAGTATATGGATATAGCTTTCACCAGACAATGGTCGGAACCCAATGGGGCATCCAAAATCACTGAGTATCGGTCTGGATCAATTGTTAGCAGAAAGTCCAAGTAATAAGCTGTACGAGACTCAACATCTGGAATTAGATAATTTGTTCTCAGTAATCGTATATTGTCTGTCTACGGTTATCTTCAGTCTTCTTCCACTTGAAACCACGAATTATTATTTGTTACCTTAGCGTGAGAATGCTGGCCTTGTAATCAATATCTATTTGAAACTTAGCGTGGATTGTCTTTAACGTTGAAAATTGCTTGAGTCAGGTAAATATTATAAATTGATCACTTCTTGCTTAAAATTATCCAATGCCGACGGACAAGTATTTACGCAACTTCTTTTTATTTGGAGAGGCGAATTATTACAGAGAATTTATCGCACAAGAAATCGTGATTCCCTTGAAAGAGTATAAATACTTCTATGTAGACAGGAATATGGTTTAATATTACATGAACAAATATTTCAATTCTCGCCTCGCTCATCGTCGTCAATCCAGACAAATTCCACCGAAGATGAGCTAGGAGAGAATTGTAATTTTGTCCTACAAATTGTCTTGTCTTGTCTCACTTCGCCTCGCCCTTAGAGAACCACATTTATTCTCGGCAATTATGTTTATAGTGGAAAGTGATACATTTGTAGTCTATGAAACTAATTGAGCTGCAGTGTAAGGTGAGCTTAAATCTTTCTTTAGTTCAAATTCAAAATATTGACTACAGTTATAATTTTATAAATAACTTGAGATTGACTTTCAAGTGGAGCAAAATGATTGATTTGATTCCTAGTTCCTGCCATAATTCTTGGCGATTAATATTCGTGAATCTATCTTGCAACCTTCAGCTAAATATATACATATCGTAGATATTGCCGGATCCAAACCGCATGGAAATCTGAACACTCAGATGAAAAATATAAACAATGCAAATAAAATAAATTTAATTTATTTAGATTGTTGTTTGTATTTACTTTTTCAAAACTTAACAAATCTCGTTTTTGCTGATAGTGCAAGGAAAATGAAAGTTCATATTTGAAATTTCCAAAAACACAAACACCACTACGCGTGCAATTCCGAGTTCTCGCTTAGAACTATACCATCTACATAACCATGATGTACCCAACTAGTGGTTATTTACTAACTTAGAATGGTTAGTCTTGCTCCGGGTCGTTGATTATAGTTTATCTACCCACGGCACTAGGCATGTTGGTTTAAAAAATGTTTGTCATTTTATATAAATTTTATGTTAGCAGGAACATGACGGTCACATGATCGGTTATAATTATAACATTTTAATTAAAAAAAACAGGCCTCGAAAATTGGTGGAATTACACGTATTTGTCAAATTTTATTGCAATTAGTTAACGGAAAGTGAGTGAAATGCAATAAACCGGATTCAGGGTGCCTTTCCACCAGAGATGTGCGAGGTAG